CCTCATTTCTCCTCCATCTCTGGGGTTAGTTCTGTCTTCATTTCTGCTCCATCTTTTAGTAAACACCACCGTGGATTTACTGACCTTTTCCCCCGTCCTCCACTCCAACATTACTAAACTTGATACATTTTATCTGTCACTTTACCTTTCATACTTCCTCACTTCGGCAGTATCTACATAGGGACAGTCTTCATTTGAGCCTAGCAGTTAAACTCCAAACTGCTTATATGACCTTGACTGTTAATAGGACGCTAAACAAAGTAAAACCAAAATTAAATAAACCCAAACAAACAAAGTTCAATTAAAAACTCCCCTGTATCTCACCTTAGGAGGAGATGAAAGATTCTATCAATCTCAATCTGAAGGGTAATATTCTTAATTGCCTAACCCGAGTCTTGCTCCAAGTCGAGAGTAAGGCATTCATGTCTCGTGTGATTTTTCTTGCAAACCCTCAACGTATGGAGTTATTATTTTTCTCTCATCCTATCAAAATCATATTCTAAATAAAGGATAGACCCTGTCCTTTATAAATATGACCAGAGAAAATCGCGTTTGTTGGGCTATGAACGCAATTGGGTGTCATTGAGACGCTTTTCTTGCATCGATAACGTCACATCCTCGTAACACGCGAGTCTGTTCCAGCATTTACATTGTAAATATACGTACCAAAAGGAAATCTACACCGGACGTACATGGACATGCATGTTATCGGTTCCATACAGAGTAAGCATACCTAGCGGGCTTCATGTAATATAGATGAACCATATTCTTTCTTGTTAAAAGCTGATTGTGACGTCCTAGTTCATTGTCCCATGTCGTCACATTTATTATATTTTCGATTATTTCTTCCCTTCCTTGTAGTAAGTTCAATATACGTGTCTCCTCCATCACGAGTACGAGTTCCATCGACAATGACACGTTTGGTTGTTTAATTTGTTTACTTTTCTGTATTGTTCTACGGCCAATCGACATATTTAAGTCATTTAGGGCCAACCAACACTTAATGTAGACACCTATAAAAAGGAATGCATTAAACTTAAAATGATACGTTGAAAGATAAAAAAAAACCACCACACCTCTATTTAGCAATATTACTGTACCATGCATACATGGTCGTCCGAAACCTAGTTGTTCTTTCTCGAGGCAAATCCAGTCCCCGTTTCTCCCTCCCAAGAAGTCCTTTTTCCGATCCCATCCAAATGGAGGTTAACTTTCGTCACCGACCACTACCAATCATAGGTAAATCCCGTCCCCTTTCTCCTCCATATTAGGTGTCCCGTCCTATTTCAGGCGTTCATTCCCGAAACATCCCTTCCCCCTTACCGGATATATCATCCCGACTCCTCAGTCTTTGGGTACTCCCTTCCTTTGTCTCCTTCATCTCAATCTTGGGGAAAGTTTCGTCCCCTCACTCTTCCAGCTAAGGGGTAAGTTATCACCTCTCCCATCGACCGGAGGTAAGTCCCATCCCTTCTCCTCCATTTCAAGGGTAAGTCCCACCCCATCTCCGCCATTTCAGAGGTGAGTCCCGCCCCTCTCCTCCATTCATTACTCACTTTCACAGGTACGTCCCGCCCCTCGCCCCCCACCCCACACACACTCAGGGGTATCCTCCCCCACTCGCACCCAATTTCAGGGGTAAGTCTCGCCCCACCTCCCCCACCAATGTTAAGTCCCTCCCCTTACTCCTCCGTCTTGGGTACATCTAAGTGTCCTGTTTCCCCAATCTCAGGGACCAATCCGGTCCCGTCTCTGTGTCTCTGATATACGAAGAAGTGAATCTGTGAGATTATTGTTTCTGTATTACAGGTGAACGTGCCTATAAAGCTGGAAGCTGACACCTGGATATCAGTACTGGAGCAGGGACTTCTCTTTCTTTTCATCGTGGGACGCTGGATGCTTCCGAGGGGCAAGGTGACGCGTGACCAATTGTCTCAGCTCCTGTTTGTATACCTAGGTATCGCGTCTGACATTATGGAGCTCTTCGTCCTCTTTGAAGAACCGGAAATCCGTGAGGACCGACTCCTCACTTTCATTACATTAAGCGTATGGTCAGTGAGTTTAATACAATTCACAATAACACTTACCGCCACCAAGAACGCCCGCAAAGGGCGTGGCGTGGCGATCACGCCAGAGGATGCTCCCGTTAAAGACAATAGAAGTATGTGCTCACGTGTCTTCCAGTCCGAGATTTGGAGTTTGATGGTGTCGATCTCCATTATGGATCTACCCTTCGTAACGGTCCGACTATACGCCCTAATCCGTTACAGGATTCTCACGTACGGTATCCTCTTCTTCACATTTAAGAACTTGCTGATGATATTCCTGCTCTTCTATCGAATGATTATCGTCTGCTACAATATGAGTCACAACGATCAGGACGATGACGTCACGGACGACGGTACCTACATATTGAGGAGCTCCACGGTGGACGTATACCCTGGGCCCCGCGGGGACAAAGCTACTGTGATCCAAGAGACCAATTCATTGTCAACCAGACAACAATTCCCCAAAAAACACGAGAGTAATGCACATAATTCTACAAACGACACAACAAACGATCTAGACCTTGAGACGTTCGATTGAACGGAAGTGACGACACTCGGTCACGTGACCATACAGTAAACGTTAACATGGAAGTACGCGTAGCTTTAATTGTATTATGTAATCAAAACGTTCACTAGCCGGCAGGTCTACCTGAGTTTTGTTTAGAGTTATAGGTGACAATGAGGGTGTGAGACTTAGAGACTGGGATCAGTCTAACAGTAGAGTACATTTTCACATTTTGCTCCAGTTATTGCATCGCTATTCTCTTGACTTCTTCCATGTGCCTGCGTACCAAACATTTATACCCCAATTTTTAGTATATCACAGGTTATTGTAACTTAAATGTTTCATGATAAACCCGTAAACATTTAGACCGCGATAATATCCAACAGTAATTACTTACTTTGGGGTAGGTGGAATGAGTTTGGCATTAGTTGTACCCCCGGTATGTCTTTAACAGAAATTAAATCCATATATCATATTCACATTTGCACCCCCACCTCCGGCGATTCCTTTCCACATGCCGATACATTTGGCATCCCCCATACAGATCTTATAGGA